ACCAGGCACAGTGGCTTACACCTGTAATCCCAGCACTTTGGGAGGCCAAGGTGGGCAGACCACGTGAGGTCAGGAGTTCAAGACCAGCCTGGCCAACATAGATAGTGAAACCCTAACTCTTCTAAAAATTAGCTGGGCATGGTGCAGCATGCCTGCAGTCCCAGCTACTTGGGAGCCTGAGGCATGAGAATCGCTTGAACCCGGGAGGCAGAGGATGCAGTGAGCAGAGATGGCGCCACTGCACTGCAGCCTGGGCGACAGAGCAAGACACATCACACACACACACACACACACAAGTGAAGTGTAGAAACAAATTCCCCCAAAGAAGCCACTGATGTATGCCATGGTGTAACTTAAAGGATTACTCTTATCCGGCCTTTGGGATTATCTGTACCATGGCCTCCATCTCCTTACACGAAGGATCAAGCCAACCACATAAACATTTAGACTCCCTGCATGATCTGGGAGAACATAAGCCGCTGATGAGTTTGTATAATACCCATGGCCACAGTTACACAATGTGGCAGGCATAACCCTTCCGCTCCAAAAGAAGGAAAGAGACAAATATATGATACATGATACTATACATGTTTTCATTCTTCACAATCATTAAAGATATAAATAACACTACTTTTTTAGGGAAAAGGAATTTATCTGTCAACAGGAAAATATATTGCTGGGCATGGTGGCTCATGCCTGTAATCTTAACACTTTGGGAAGCCAAGGCAGGAGGATCTCTTGAGGCGAGGAGTTCAAGAACAGCGTGAGCAACACAGCAAGACCCCTCTCTACAAAACATGAAAAGATTAGCTGGACATGGGGGTGCATGCCTTTAGTTCTAGGTACTCAGGAGATTGAGGTGGGGGATTGCCTGAGCCCAGGAGTTCGAGGCTTCAGTGAGCTATGATCACACCAATGCACTCCAGCCTTGGCAACAGAGCAAGGTCCTATCTCTTAAAAAAATAAAATAAAATAAATAATAAATAATATAGAAAGGGAAGAGAGTTGAGATTCCAGAATAGTCTTTCTGACTCCAAACTCCAATTTATTTTTATCCTACACCACTTTTTCATAAAAGTTCAGAACAAATTGTTTGATGTTTTTCTTATTGTTCATTATTACTTTTTAAAAGGTCAATTCTGACATTTGATTTACATTTCCTGACAAACTACATATCATTTTCCTCCCTCCCTTCTGTCTTTCCTTCCTTTTATTCTTCCATTTATAATGCAACAGATGATAGTTCGTCATGGTGTCCTGTAGGTCGTGTATTTTACTTAGCAATGCCAGATAAAATTATCAGCAGCCACTTGTGGAAAGCTTTGCTGGAAAATATTGCTTCAACCATACTTATTTGTTTCTTAAAATGTATTTTTGCTGATCTCCACTTAGAACAACAGAAACACAGATGGCTACAGTTACTGGATTTGCTCTAAGTTTTTATGCCCCTTTTCTCATATACACTTTTGGCGGTCAAGTTTACTTTCAAAAACATATGCTAAGAATAGTAACACATTTTTCAGACTTGAAGTTGTCTAGGAAAAAAGTATGCTCCACATTAAGAAAGAGTCTGCAGGCCGGGCGCGGTGGCTCACGCCTGTAATCCCAGCACTTTGGGAGGCCGAGACGGGTGGATCACGAGGTCAAGAGATCGAGACCATCCTGGTCAACATGGTAAAACCCCGTTTCTACTAAAAATACAAAAAATTAGCTGGGCATGGTGGCGCGTGCCTGTAATCCCAGCTACTCAGGAGGCTGAGGCAGGAGAATTGCCTGAACCCAGGAGGCGGAGGTTGCGGTGAGCCGAGATCGCGCCATTGCACTCCAGCCTGGGTAACAAGAGCGAAACTCTGTCTCAAAAAAAAAAAAAAGAAAGTCTGCAAATTCAAAAAGCAGATTCATCTCCTAGAAAACCGATTCCCCGAGCAGGCCATTTTCGTCTCTACCCAATAAACACCAGATTCCTCAGCTTGGCAGTCAAGAACCTTGACCATATCTAGTCTCAGATGATTCTTCCTACTTTTTCTTCTGATTCCAAGCTACCGTACTCTATTTTCCAGCAAAATGGGTCTGTTTATTTCCCCGTGGCCACGCTTCCCTCTGTTTTGCTCATTGCTGTTTCTTTTGCCTGGGGAGATCTCCTTTTCTCTAAGCATTCCATCTCTCGCAGCTCAAAGGCCACCTCCTTCAGAAAGCGTTCCTGGGTTAGATTTGCTTTCACATCTCTAGATGTCATTGGTCTTTATTTGTCCCTTCTTTAGGACACATATGCTACATCTTTTGCTTTATTTCTGCCCCAATTTAGAGAACCATTAGAAGGCTATTAATAAAAAAAACGAGCTGGGCACGGTGGCTCACGCCTGTAATCCCAGCACTTTGGGAGGTTGAGGCGGGTGGATCACGAGGTCAAGAGATCGAGACCATCCTGGTCAACATGGTGAAACCCCGTCTCTACTAAAAATACAAAAAATTAGCTGGGCGTGGTGGCGCGTGCCTGTAATCCCAGCTACTCAGGAGGCTGAGGCAGGAGAATTGCCTGAACCCAGGAGGCGGAGGATGCGGTGAGCCCAGATCGCGCCATTGCACTCCAGCCTGGGTAACAAGAGCGAAACTCCGTCTCAAAATAAAATAATAAAATAAAATAAAATAAAATAAAAAAAGAATGTGCCAGAACGGTTGAAAGAAGGTATTTAACAGTAATTCCTGCTAATGGTATAATGAGACAGGATTGCAGGCAGGTGGCCTGCAAACATGTTTTAAAATTTCCCTACAGGCTGGGCTCAGTAACTCACACCCATAATCCCAGCTCTTTGGCAGGCCAAGGCAGGCAGATCACAAGGTCAGGAGTTCGAGACCAGCCTGGCCAACGTAGTGAAACTCCGTCTCTGATAAAAATACAAAAAAATTAGCCAGGCGTGGTGGCAGGTGTCTGCAATCCCAGCTATTTGGAAGGCTGAGGCAGGAGAATCACTTGAACCCAGGAAGTGGAGGTTGCAGTGAGCCGAGATTGTGCCATTGCACTCCAGCCAGGCAACAGTGCAAGACTGTCTAAAAAAAAAAAAAAAAAAAAAAAAAAAAAAAAAAAAAGTTGCCTACCATAGTGTTTGAAAAAAAAAAAATTCAATTTAATTGGAATGCTTGCATATTGGCACACACACTCTACCCCACCCGCTTCCCTTTTCCCCATTGCCCTTATACTGGCACACCACATAGTTACATTCCTTGACTGACCCTGGGTGGCACTTGAGTTTACAAGCTCCATGTAGATGTTACATCAATCGTTTGATACACCAGGTCCAAATCATGGCTCTGTTACTTTCTAGCTAGCTGTCTCAGGTTAAGAGCAAGACTTCTAATGATATCTTTGAATAGTGCTTTGTATTAGAGGTGGCCTTATGCAAATAAACAGGTACAGTTGACCCTTGAAACATGTGAGTTTTAGGAGTGGCAATCACCTGCACAATCAAAAATCCACCTATAAATTGGGTGCAGTGGTTCACACCTGTAATCCCAGCACTTTGGGAGGCTGAGGTGGGTGGATCATCTGAGGTTAGGAATTCAAGACCAGCCTGGCCAACATGGTGAAACCCCGTCTGTATTACAAATAAAAAAATTAGCCAGGTGTGATGGTGGGAGCCTGTAATCCCAGTTTGTCGGGAGGCTGAGGCAGGAGAAGGGCTTGAATCCAGGAGGCAGAGGTTTCTGTGAGCCAAGATAGCACCACTGCCCTGGGCAACAGGCTACATCTCAAAAAAAAAAAAAGAAAGAAAGAAAAAAAGAAAGAAAATCCACCTGTAACCTTTGACTCCCAAAAAACTTAATAGTCTTCTGTTGACCTTACCAATAACACGGTTGACTAACATATATTTTGTATGTTATATGTATTATATCCTGTATTCTCACAATAAAGTAAGCTGGAGAAAAGAAAATATTAAGAAAAATTATAGAAGAGAACATTATTTATTAAGTAGAAATAGATCATCATAAAGGTCGTCACCCTCATTGTCTGCACGTTAAGTATGCTGAGGAAGAGGCAGAGGAGGGGTTGGTCTTGCAGTCTCAGAGGTGGTAGCGTCAGGAAAAAATCTGAGAACAAGCGGATCCATGCAGCTCAGTCCTGTATCGTTCAGGACTCAACTGTGTATTTTTGCATATGGGCTCAAATACATACACACATATGGCCGTGAGTCAAAGATTCATAGAATGAATTAGACAAGGATATCTATCACTGAATTGAAATGGCTGACTGCAAAACTGCCCTCAACTTATCTCTAGGCCTTAGAAACAGAAGTGACCCTTTGCTGCTGTGAATCAATAGCCTGGACTAGATTGGGGTTGGGTTGGCACAGGTATGTAGTCTTCGCCTCGGTCCACTATTCCTGCCCAAGCAGTCATCGCTAGCAGTCACATTGCTCAGACAGGGCCTCCCGGCTCTCCCCACCACTGTTTGCTGGATTTACACCACCGGTAGATCAGAGCTGGCAAAAGGGATAAATCAGGATGAAACATTTGGGCACTTTGCAGTTTAGAGGAACTTTGGGGGTGCTGCTTTAGTAAAAAACGGAAGACTTGCATTTATTAAAGGTTAGTAAGAAGTGAAATCACGTATGCAAAAGTACATTATAAATTAGAAAATACAATAAAGGCAGAAACTATTTATTTATTGGTTGCTCTGCACTTTACCTAAGTGGTTTTTGATCATCTCACAATGTGTAGGAGTTGAGTTTTACCTTCATTTTATGGATGTGGAAATAGGACTTGCATGTTAGGTAACTTGCCTAAATCTCTCAGCTAACAGAAAGTGGTGTTCCTGAGATTCCGGGTCTGTTTGACCTCAGGCCTGTACTCTTTGTATGAGTTCATGCTGACTCCCAGATGACATGCTAAGCACGTGTATTAGATATTACACCAATTTCCACTATAGTTAATGTTCTATCTAAATATAAAGTGAGACCATGGTCTTAGATGAATGTGGCTATTGAGAGCAGCGATAATCCAGAATGGCTACTCTGATCTATGTCGATAAGGAAATGGAGACCCAGGCACTGGTGTGGCTGCTAAGGACAGGCTAAAGCTGGGGTCTGAACCTTCAATCAAAGCCTTAGATGGGAGATGACAAGTTTTAACACCATGTTTTGGCAAAACGTTCGATGCTCCACCAGCCTTACCTAAAGGTACCAGAAAGGCTTTGGGAACTGTCAAAAGAGCTACAGAAAAATCAGTAAAGACCAATGGACCCAGCACACAAAAACAGCCAAGGTTTTCTGCCCAAAAGGTGACTGAGAAGACTGTTAAAGCAAAAAGCTCTGTTCCTGACTCAGATAATGCCTGTTTAGAAATAGAAAAATTCTTTCCCTTCAATCCTCTAGAGTTTGAGGGTCCTGACCTGCCTGAAGAGCAGCAGATTGCACACCTCCCCTAGAGTGGAGTCCCTGTCATGATTCTTGGTGAGGAGAGAGAGCTTGAAAGGCTGTTTCAGCTGGGCCCCCTTCACCGGTGAAGATGCCATCTCCACCATGGGAAGCCCATCTGTTGCGGTCTCCTTCAAGCATTCTCTTGACCCTGGATGTTGAATTGCCAGCTGTTTGCTATAACACATTTAAATGTCTTAGTGCTTTTGAGTTTGTGTATAATTGTATTAACAGAGCAATCTTTGTTTAACAACAAAATAAATGAATAAATACAAAGTGGGTCATATTCCCCTTTATATGATTCTGTCTTAGCTGTTCTTTGCTTCTGTATTCCTTCCATGCTAAGGCCCCTACTCTTTGGGGATATGTCAACATGATTTACTTCTGTAGAGAAACAGGAGACAGGAAATAGCAACGGATAAAGGAGAAAAGGCCAGGGTCAGGTCAAGAACTTCCTACATCTTTTCTTCCCAGCCTAGTGTGAGCCAGATGAAAGCCTTAAGGAGGGCCTAGCAGCAAAGGGAGATACTTAAAAGAAGAGTGAGAATTTCGTAGAATGCTAAAAAAAAAAAAAAAATAGGGAACATATTTGCAGCTAGGACTAACATTGATTATCTTGATTATCTTAAAATATCTGTATGACTAAGTAATATTCATGGAATCCCACGTCTTATGCTTCTCATGTCTTATAACTTAAGCACTTTTATGTCCACGCCTTGAATTCTGTACAAAGCTGTGTTAGAGTCACAGATGTCTGGTGTCGATCCAGATCGCCTGAGAGGTTTCAGGGGTTCCTCTGTGGTCCCTGAATTCCAGGACGTAGTGAGTTTCCTAGACCAGCAGCTGCTATTCATTACACATATTAGTGGTTTTGCTCTTGCTACTGAAAGGGGGTGGCAGTTATGTCTCTGAATATGTTATTCCGCAAAAAGCCAACTGGATGTGGCTCTTTCAGAACCATCAAAGCCCATGACAGGCCAAAGTTTCTCAATCCCTCCTCAATCAAAGGATGCCCTCAGAACTGGCCAACAGAAAAGATGCAAGGTCTCCCTCCTAGGCTGTCCTACTGTTCCTTAGAGAAGAGTTACGGTTTTGTGATCTGTTGCACTCCATCTTGTTTTTGGCTTCCATGCGATTTTAAAACTGGAGGTTGGTTAAGTTTAAAATTTCAAGACAAAGCATAAAATATTTGAGAAGTTATTTGTACATTGCCTGTCTCCCCCACTAAACTGTGAGCCCCATGAGGGCAGGGCCCGTCTCTGTGTCGTTTACTGTGGCGTCCAAGTACTTCCCCTTTCCCTGGAGCTGATGCTATGGTGGGCTGCTCTAAGCAATCTTTGTCTTGAGTCAGTAGCCACTCAGGTCAAGGATGAGTTTCCATTAGGTGTGGGCATAAGTCCCTGCTCAGCCATTGTCCCCTTCACCGGAAGAACTAAAATTTGTCTGTAAAGGAGGACATCATATTCTGTAAATGGTAGGACCTCATTCCCTGTAAGATTTGTATCTCTGCATTTTGGACTCAAGCACCATAGGTGTATTCCATGGCAAGACAGGAAGTATTACTGGAGTCAGACTCCCTGGGTCCTAACCCCGCTTCCTCTATTTAGTGACTACGCGACCTTGGGCAAGCTAGTAACGTCTCAAATTTTACCTCGTAAAGCTGTTGATAGAGACGCTAAACATGTTTAAATTTCTAAATGTTTAGTGCTACATGTATGTACAGTTATTAGTATAGCAAGCATCGAAATGATATCAGAGTAGAAACTCAATAAATGTTTGTTGGATGAATAATTAACCTCTCAGACTTCAGTTTCATCAGCTGTAAATAAACAGGTTTAGCTATATGATATCTTTTCAGTTCTAATATCCTGTGGACTTATGTTAGTAATTATAATTTTTTATTCTTAGTAATTTTTTCAGGATTACTCTGAGGATAAGAAGTCAAATTCTAAACTGAAATAAGTGAATTGAATAAAAACTTGGTTAAAAAAAGTGTTTTAAAAATCGCCATTTAAGTCCAATGATGAGATAGTCTTTGATTTAAAGTGTGTCTGCGGTCAGCCCAGGGAAATAGTGTACAGCTTCTCTAGAGTGCTTTAAAATCTTCGTTACAGTCAGTTTAAGTATTTCCTTGGCAAAAAATATCAACTCTTCTTTTTCTGACACCTCTTTGTATATGATGGCCTTGGTGTGAGACATGAAACCATTAAGAAAATACAAGCCAGGTCCTCTCCTACAGTCCATAAAAATTATTTAGTTGAAGCTGTGCATATTTATTAGCTTATAATCAATTTTAAACTGACTCACTAAAAGTACTGTATTAGGCCATTCTTGTATTACTATAAAGTAAAACCTGAGACTGGGTAATTTATAAAGAAAAGAGGTTTAATTGGCTCACAGTTCTGCAGACTGTACAGGAAGCATAACACTGGCATCTGCTGGGCTTCTGGGGAGACCTCACAAAGCTTCCAGTCATGGTGGAAGGCCAAGGAGGAGCAGGCACCTTACATGGCAGAACAGGAGCAAGAAAGAGTTGAGATGGAGGCAGGCAGGGACAGGTGCATTGGCCCATGCTGTAATCCCAGCACTTTGAGACGTCCAGGTGGGTGGATTGCTTGAGGCCAGGAGTTCAGGACCAGACTGGCCAACATGGTAAAACCCTGTCTCTACTAAAAATACAAAAATTAGCTGGGCGTGGTGGTGCATGCCTGTAATCCCAGCTACTCATTGAGTAGCCTGTGGCAGGAGAATTGCTTGAGCCTGAGACATGGAGGTTGCAGTGAGCGAGATCATGCCACTGCACTCCAGCCTGGGTGACAGAATGAGATTCCGTGTCAAAAAAAATATCCATCTACGTACCTGTGTACAAAATATCTGAAACAGCTGCTAAGACTGTGTAGTAACCACATGGATATCTGTCACATGATGCTATAAATGTTTTGAAAATAATTTTTAAGATCCTAAGAAACAAGAATACTGTAATGAAAATCCAATATCAGACTCTACTCTCTTGTAGATTAGAAATATTATCTGTGCTCTTTCCCTGCTAATGGCTCATTTGTACTTGGCATTTGGGTACCTGCTTAAAACACCAGGCTGACTATAGGGTCCCTGATGTTGGTTAGGGCCTCCTCTGTCAGCTTTCCTAGCACCCTCTCTATTCCTTCTCACTGCACTTATCACCCACTTATGCTGTTTCCTGTTTCCTTGCTATATGGGCCTGCTGTACTATAACACGTCCCTCTAGGGGCAGGTGGCTTGCTTACTGTAGCATCCCTAAGGACTGGTAGGCGATATTGAGTGGGTGAATGAATTACTGCAATGGCTTAAGTTCAGTGCTCTGCACACACATGGGCCAGGGCTGGATATGTGAAATTACCACTTGATGAAATTAGTTAAAGCAGCATTTGTTGGCACAGAGAGGCTGTGTGCCCCTTTCTTGGAGTCCCCTAGACTTCAGTGCATGCCCCACAGTCTCACAGTTGGAAAGGAGGGTTGGGGTGCTGTGCTTCATGTAAGGTGATTCTAAACCTGGTGCTAGATCCACTGACACATCCAACTGGAGACTCAGGTTCCCATTAGGCTGTGGCCAGAGCCAAGTCCACTGCCACTGAATTTCCTACTTACTGAGAGATGAGGATTTTCCTGTCCACTAGCCAGACCAGTTTTTCACAGAGAGGGCCAATGTGCCTGATTTCCCCAGACCTGGCAGTGAAGCTCCTGCTTTGTCCTGGGTTCAGGTGGAGTTTGGCATGCTGGCTCCAGCATAGGCTGGATGGGGACAAGGGGCAGGGGGCTGCTTATTGCAGGTCTCATCTTCTTATTGGCCCCTGGCCTGGCTGTTCTGTTGAGAAGGTTCGTGCTGCCTCAGACTCCACAAGAATTTGCTTCCTTTCTCTCTTCCTTCCTACCTCGTTCATTCATTTGTTCTTTAGGATCTGCTGCCATTTCAAGTCTATTTGTATCTTATCTAGCTAGTATCAGCTCCCAGCCTCATGAAAAAGGGTAACCTCAGCCGGGTGTGGTGGCTCACGCCTGTAATCCCAGCACTTTGGGAGGCCGAGGTGGGCCTGAGCTTGGGAGTTTGCGACCAGCCTGACCAACATGGAGAAATCCTGTCTCTACGAAAAATACAAAATTAGCCAGGCGTGGTGGTGCATGCCTGTAATCCCAGCTACTTGGGAGGCTGAGGCAGGAGAATCGGTTGAACCTGGGAGACAGAGTTTGTGGTGAGCTGAGATCACGCCATTGCACTCCAGACTGGGCAACAAGAGCAAAACTCTGTTTCAAAAAAAAAAAAACAGAAAAGAAAAAGGCCAAGCTCTTTCCCTGACAGAGCCTGCTGTTGGCAGGAAGATGCCAGAGCATGGTGGCTGTCTAGAGAACCTTTCTTGGCCACGCCAGCTCACTGAAATCTTAGAGCATGAAGCCCTGTGTTTGTTAACAGTTAGCACCTGCTTGGAGGCATGCTGACAGGTGGCCTATGCAGCCACTGCTCCACTGTGTCTAGGTAAAGCACTGGGCGAATTATTTTACTTTCCTGAACCTCAGTTTCCTCATCTGCAAAACAGCATAAATAATACCTTGCAGCAGGGTTTTAAGATACTTAGGGCCTGTGAAGTAAAGTGGTTAAGTTGGCAGAGTGCCTGGGCCTGATCCTGGTTTTCTCCTTTTCCAGGTGACTGCTTCGGTTTCCCCACCCAAAAATAGGTATTCATACTCTCAACCTCATGCACTGTAAATGCTTACAACAATACCTGGTCCATGATGGATGCTGTCTGAAGGTTTTCTGGTTTTAGAAGTGTCTGGCAGATAGGAAGCACTCGATACACATTATGCTTTATTACTATTATTGTTTATCTTACCATCTAGGGTTGTGAGATAGATAACATATGAAAACATCTGGCATGCCGTAAGTACCAGCAGATATTGTTTTCTTCCTTCCTGACCCTTGATCTTGGAGCAGGGCTACCTTGGAGTGGAAGCAGGTGATCCCTGACTGAGTCGCCATTCTTTTAAATGCTATTCTTGTCCCTGAGAACAAGAACTAACTCTAGATGCCTGGAGAAGTTCCAGGAGCATCAGGGCCCTTGTGATATTATGGCCTCAAGATTGGTGAGCAGATATATTTAGTTCTACTTTGATCCTGAGCTAAGGCTGCC